TTTCAAATTTATCTGCACCCTTAGTCTGTTTGTAACTTTCTAAAATCAAAGTTTTAATCACCCTTTTGCTGTTTATTCCAAAAGCATTTTTTTTCTAAAATCAAAGTTTTAATCACCCTTTTGCTGTTTATTCCAAAAGCATTTTTTTTCTAAAATCAAAGTTTTAATCACCCTTTTGCTGTTTATTCCAAAAGCATTTTTTAAAGTTCTTAAACTTGTAGTTAAACTTTCTTTCACTAAGGAATGAAGGGAAACCCAACCGATGCTGCCAATACAAAGGTTTCTAATAGCTGAATAGCAGCTAACAAGCAATTTCTGAAAGTGATTAGGAAAGGAAGTATGCAAACTTAGTGTCCTTTCAAAGGGTCCAACTGCGGTTTGAGCAAGATGGCTATTCCCTTGTCTCCCAGAGCTCTAAACCCATCAGAGACTGCTAACTGCAGTCTTCTCATGGGGATCAACTGTCTGGAGCACTTGTGTGTGATCTCAAGTCCTCTCCTTGTCCAGAGAGGTTTCAAAGAGCCAATCTATTTGCCAGCTCTTCATTCCACCATGGTCATCAGCTCAGTTTTTCACAGAGCTGTCTTCAGTCTGCCATTTCTTCCTCCAGACCAGATCCTTTGCATTTACTACATTTACAATGATGTGTGTGTGTGTGTGTGTGTGTGTGTGCAGATTTTTTTAAAAAGTTGTTCTAAATCATTTACTAATTAGACTAAAAAGCAAACTTAACCTCCCAACTATCCCTGTTTAATTACAAGGCTGGCTGTAGACATTTTGGTGCCCAAGGCAAAGGCATATTCTGGCACCCCCTATGGTTTGCCTCATCTTCCAATTTTGTTAGGAATTTCAAAAACGTGCCCTCTTGTTTCTTTTTTTCTTTGAGTTTTTGAGCTTTACACTTATGATTTTCAGTCCGGACTTTTTTTTTTTCTTTTCTCAGACATTTTCACCCTGTTTACACTGTGAAATTATATTTAACCCTTGAATGGGTGCGCTGGTTCACAAAGTACACTGTTACTGCTTTTTGCTTTTTTATTATGTTTTTCAGAAACCTTTTCAATTTTGGCACCCTTAGGCCAGCGCCTACTCAGCCTTAGCCTAGAGCCAATTCTGTTTATTTATACATTTACAGTGTTCAGCATTAATTAAGGATTATTTTTTTCATAATTGTTGGAACACATTCAAAGAAAATAAATTTTAAAATCAGTATTACAGATTACCAAATACTACTACCTGGAAGGAATATAAAGCCTTGAGACTATTTTAAATGATACACCCAACTGTTTTGTCTTACTTTTTTACTCATAAAGCAATCAACACTGTAGTTTCATAAAATAAATGATGCATGTTGGTTACTTTTCTTTATACCCTCTTATTTTACTATATATATTCATTTTATATCCAGCTATATGTGTAGACGCTTCCATGCAAACCAGAACCCCAGCTGTTAGCTGAGGGAAGGCCCCATTCTGCAGATGTTAACATTATACATGCAAGCACTTCGAAAGAGGTTAAATGGCATGCATGATGACAAGAGTGGAGCTGTTTACTAAGGCCTCACTCCCTGCTTGTTTTAAATTCTTTAAACAAAAGATCTTTAAAAGGTTTTAAACAAAATTTCTATGAATCTGTGAGCTGGCACTTGACTTTGTTTTTTTCTCCTCCCTCCTTCACCCTTGTTTTTCCTCTGAGCCGTGTTTCAGGTTATAAGCCCAAGAACATGCATTATTTTGTTTTCCATTGGTTTCTAAACATTTCTGGAATGGATCATAAATGTCTTTCCTTTTTGCTCTGGAACTCCATGCCATCATTTAAAACATACATCTAATAATCTATAAAACAACCTTGTGATGCTGCTATCAGCTGATTGCACTGGCAAGTAGAGCATAAGAGAGGATCTTCTACATGTACCCCTTTCCCAGCACAATTATTGAAGCATCAAAGCAGAGAAATTAAAGGTGGCAGCAAATTGGGCTCTTGCAAAGGTTTTTGTATGTGTTTTAGATTGTTTACTGGGTATTCAGAGAAGGGAGTTAAAGCACTAGGTGGGAAGCAGATGGACTGGCTATTTTCTCCAGGCTTTTTCTCTATTTCTAACATTTAATTTACTATTTGCAGCCACTTCTCCCAATCTCAGCAGCTTGTCTGTTGCTGAGAAAGAAAGCAATTTAGAGACAGACGTAGAGAGAAGCATGGCATGGTGGAGACCCAGGTTCAAGTCCATCCTCAGGATGGAAGTTTATTGAGCGATTTTTGGCCAGTCATGTCTCTCAGTGCAATCTACCTCCCAAGGTTGTTATCGGAAGGAAAAATTGAAGGAGGCAATTCAGTGTAAGCTGTCTAGCTTCCTCAACCAGGACTTGAAAGTAATTCACAAATCTCCTAACTCTATTTAGCTCAGCTCTTTGGCTTGACTTGGCAGGAGACTCACAAATGTGGTTCACCTAGATAAGAATCTTTATTGCTGATGAGAATGAAGCCATACAAAATAGTTGTCTGCCCACTGCTAGTGAGAGTGTGCAAATGACTTATGCCCTCAGTAGTTTACATATATTGTTTTATCCTCCTGCACTTGCCACAAATTAATGAACTGTTGGCATTACTTTTGGTGGCCTTGAAACTGAGAGTTGTTGCATATTTGCACACCTGCCATCTCTGGCCTGAGAACTACTGGCTTCTGCTATAACCTTCACATAAGCTGTCTGGAAGAATATTCTGGAGGGAGAGTGAGATATAAATCTAATAAATACATAAATAAACTTACGTTCTCCTTACAGAGAAACATATAAGAGTTATTAGAACTTGAGAAGAGCTATCTTCTCAAGAACTAAACATCTGGATGAATTTTGTCTCCTCAATGTTCTGAAATGTTTTATATTATAGTCCATATAATGAGGTATAGCTTCCTCATCTTTTTTCCTCGTTTTTCTCAGTTCACTGTCATCTCTTCTTGCTCTTTTATCATTCTGTCACATTGGACATTGACAACAAGATGAATCTTTTTTGGGGGGGCGTTATTTTTGGCTGCTGACATAGTTTAGTAGAGGCTTTTTTTCATTTGATGAAAATGGGGCTAAAGTTTCAAAAAGGACCACAGATGTAACAAAAAATATATATTTTTAAAACTTTCAAACTGTTAGTTTTCAAGAATAACTTTATATACAATCAAAACTAGCCATTATTTCTAATCATATTTGACTGGGAAAGTAAAAGCTGCAAGTGCAGCTATTAAATATTTATAGTCTAAATGCCAGCAACTAACTTATTTCAAGCCATATACTCTAACATGCATTCTAGATATGTTGGACTTCAAGTCTTCTAATGCCAATCCACTAGGGTATAAAGTCATGCTGACAGGCAAATTATGAGAGTTGAAACCCAAGATGTCAGGAGAGTATCAGATGGGGAAAGGCTGACCTAACACAATGGTGTCAAAAAGTATATAAAATTTCAGTGTTCACAAAATGCATGAAACAATAAAAAATGCCTGAGATGGTAATAATATCCAGATACAGATATAATAATATGGTATATAACAATATTCTGCATTCAAATTTTCACAGGAGTACTAAAAAAAAATGCTACAAACACAAAAGTGTTCTATTGCACTCAGACTGGACAACATCTAGCAGTGTATAGGTTACTAGTGCAGATCGTTAAAAAGGTTACAAAGTACAAATTAAAATCCAATAAATAGTTTTTGAATCAATATGCATAAAATGCTATTGCAAGTATAATACACATCCCACCAGATCTACAAAAAAACAATCTTCCGAAGAAGGGGCCATCTATATTTGTTGGATTTCATATCCTATAATCCACACTGGTTGAAATCTCTTCCTCACCATTACCTAACAAACAGTTTCAAGTTAATCATGTTCATCTTCTCTATTGCCAACACTGAATCAATAACACCAATGCAAGCTAGGATTTCTATTCTAGAGGCTAGCTTGTAAGCTACTGTTGCCCAGACAGATAGATTTATTATATTATTGCCCAGACATTCCCAGCTCTGAAGTTCATGCAGTGTTCTGACTACACTAGCTCGTTATTCTTTCTTTACTTAGTTTTGGCAAAATAATCCAGCTAACATGTAGATTTAGCACCAGTTTTCCAGTGTGGATTGGTAAAGTGGTATTGAAGCTTTTCAGAACTATTGCGCCTTTAATTAAAAGTTTGTTGCCTGTATGTCCTGCCTATCATATTTTTTTCTTGCACATACAGCAGCATTACCAATGAATTATCTATAAACTGCTCTTTAAGAAGCTCCTTTCATTGATCCTAATGTTTCTGTTAATTATTATTTTCCTAATTTTTTTTTTCATTTTTAAGAAATAATGGTATTCTGTGGTTAAAAAAAATAACAGCAACAAGACAAACTAGTAAATAAAACATGGACACACATGCACACACACACAATGTCATTAAAGGTAACAGGAGACTATATGTATCCATCAGTGATACCCCAACCATATTCAACAAGAAAAAAATAAAATGGGCAAGCATTTCAATTTGCTAAAATGAACTTATTTGAAGGAAAAGGATGTTAGTCATGGGAGGAACATTTTTAGATAATAGCTCTATGTTAAGAACAGAATCTTATCTCAACAGAATCATCCTGTTACGGAGCATAGAGCTACCATATCTTGGCTGCAAAAATCTAGATGACCGCTAGAAATGTTATATCTGTTTGCTGCTATCTAGTGGTCATCTGGAATTTTGCAGCCCAGATATGTAAGCTTTAACATAATCACCAAGTCTGTAGCTGTATAAAGACTCAGAAAGAAAGAAACTTAGCATACTACAGAATAGATTTGCACTGGACTACAAATAAATGAGCAAAGAAAACTAAAAGTGAAATACGACCGCAGCTCTCTATGGTACATTTTTTACTGTGGTTGGGAATCAGGCAATTATCTTTTGACAGATACATTTCCGGATCCACCTACCAACATTTTTATCATACTGTTTTTACCAAGCTCAATCTCTCTTTCTGCATTAAATCTGGTACAAGGAAAGGATTGAAAGTAAGTAAGTAATTATATTTGTGAAAGGAAGTGGCTCAGGTAAGAAAACATTTACACTAACTTGTTAATAATTTCTATCTAAATTTGTATTAATAGTTGACTGGAAAAGCGATTGCACAATTCAATTTTATCTAGCCTCACACTGACAAAATATTAGTTGGGGGAATATAATTCAACCACATAACATTTATGTTTAATTTCTGTGACTGGGTGTTAAATATGTACAGAATCGTATGCGTGTATGTTCAGGGAAATGTCCCATGGAGCTTACTACTGGTTTATCACCTTTGCCTGCAATCCTGTACACCCTTGCTTTGTACTGAAAGTAATTCCAATCAGCAAAAATGAATTTACTTTTGAATAAGCATGCCTAAAATGTATGGTTTAATGTCTCATTATTACCAAATCAATAAATCTTACAGTTTTTCATCTTTGGCTGAATTGTGTTCAGTATTAACATAGGTCATTGGAACAGGTTTTTGTCCATCATATTTCTGGTACCATAAGTTCAAGCAATGTCCAGCCAAGGGTTTATAGTAAATTGTCCCTATATAGACTGGAATTCCTTTTGCTAACATTTTTTTAAAATGCTTGGTTACAAGTATTGATTTCCAAAAGAATGAAGAGGAAGCAGCCTTTTTAAAATTCCCTTTTCAGTTTCTAAAAAATTAACATGACTACAGTTTGTGGCAATTCATGCAAATACTACCCTTGGCATCCATACTGTGTATTTATTTATTTGCACTTTAGAACCTGCTCTGCAGTGTAACATTTTCCAACATGACTATCAGCATAAATTGAAATAGTCAAGCAGACCTATGAATAAAAATGGGTGGGGTGGGTCACAGTTGTTCAGCTTGATGTGCAAATATGGAAAACAATTTTATTTTGTTAGATTTCATTAATAGCAGTTTAAGTTGAAATGTTAATTAAAAGACAAAAGGAACCTGATATAACTTGCTACAAAATTACAATGGATCAAAGGCAATGGAAGAAATACTACTATATTTAATGCACTAAATTTTCCAAGTCAGAACCCTTCTGATATATAAATCTCATTTCCCAAATATTGTTGAAGCCTGGTAATTTCAGTTAACTCGACTAAGGCTGATGAGTTTTTATTTAAACATAGTTTGTACCTCCTTAAATAATTTGCAATGCTGACATAAGAATGGAGCCAGCTGCTTTACTGGTGCATTTGCCCATCACTATCCCATCATGAATAATTTGGGTAAAATTAGCCAAGACCAGCAAAAAGGAAGGTTGAGAGGAAAAGTGATGGCTACAGCAAAAGGAGAGACTTCCTAACATAATCTTTATATATTTATTTTGAACTTTTATTACTGATGGCAGGGAATGAATTACCACAGCAATGGCAGGTACAGATAAGATAGGAGGAGTTGGGCTGACGGTTCCAGGAAGCTTCATACTGAAAGTAGTTCTAATCAGCAAAAATGAATTTACTTTTGAATAAGCATGCCTAAAATGCATGGTTTAATTTTCATGGTGCCTGGAGACGGTAGGGGTCTGGATGGAGAACAATAGGCTTCAGCTGAACCCTGGTAAGACAGAGTGGCTGTGGATTGGAGGCTCCTCTGTATCTGGGGGCTTACCATCTTTGGGTTTTGATGGGGGTGCGCTGCCCCAGACAGACCCGGTGTGTAATCTGGGGGTCCTCCTGGACACATGACTCCTGCTTGAGGAGCAGGTGGCAGTCGTGGCCAGGAGGGCCTTTGCGCAACTTCGTGTTGTGCACCAGTTACACCCCTTCCTGGATCAGGAGTCCCTCCAGTCTATTACTCACACTCTGGTCATCTCTCATTTAGACTGTTGCAATGAGCTTTACATGGGGCTACCCTTGAAGAGTATCTGGCAGCTACAGCTGGTTCAAAATGCGGCCCCGCATGCAAACATGGGTGCCCCAAGGAGGGCACATGTAACACCTTTGTTGCAAGAGCTGCATTGGGTTCCAGTTTGCTTCCGGGTCCAATGCAAGGTGTTGATTATCACCTTTAAAGCCCTACATGGCATGAGTCCAGGTTACCTGAGGGACTGTCTCATCCCCATTACATCAACCCGTCCCCCCTGGTCTGGCAGAGAAGACATGTTGCATATCCCATCAGTGAGAGAATGTCGACTGGCAAGTTCCAGGAGGAGAGCCTTCTCTGTTGTTGCCCCTGCCCTATAGAATACTCTCCCCGCCAGAGGTGAGGTGGGCCCCTACCCTCCCAATTTTTCGGAGGAAATTGAAGACTTGGCTCTGCCAACTTGTGTGGGACGGGGAAAGATACAATCGACCCTGGGGATGGCTGGCACCTTGACGATGCTCCCTGAGTTTATTA